CCTAATAGAACATTTGAACTATCTCGTAGGGTCCTTGCTGGAACGTAAATCCCATATCCCAAGAAAATGCCCTCAGATTAATACACGTTCTTAGTCCAGTTTTATATTCTGGTATCTGACATTCCCTGGATCCAGGGAACCTCCTGGCTCTCGCCAGTAATATGCTGGGTATTAGTTCTTTTCCTCCCCTCTAAGGCCCAGCATGTTCTTGGCAGAATTATGCTGAGATTTATCCCTCGTTATCCATTCCGACAGCCAGAAGAGGAGATGGGCAGATCGGAAGGGACACCCCTGTCACCTTTTAGGGAGAGTCTTCTGCATTGTCTTTCCTGGGCAGCAGGTGGTGCTAGCTCTCAATGCGGAGGGGTGGGCTGCCTCAGCAGGGTATGCGGGTTCGGAGAAGCTTGGGAAAGCAACACCTTCCCCGACATCCACCATCCAAGGCAACAGACGTCCCCGTTCCATGAGTCAGGGCTCCAGTCCAGGTTTTCTCAACCAGGGCTGTGATCTTGACAAGACAGATCTACCTTGGCTGAAGGTTCCAGCTACTAGCCTCAGTTGAGCAGTTTTTGAAGCTTCCCCGTGGCTATGCATTTCTGGGTCGGGTCTTCATTTTTTATTGATCATCCACTGCAGGAGATAGAGGCCTTTTTGTAAGCTACCAAGGACGCCCTTACACTTAGTTCCAATTGTTTGTTATCTGCTTTTTCCCATCTCTCTGTAAGATATCATTGCGGTTTAGTGACAGCTAATTCCTTTGTCCTTGTATGCATGGTTTCCTGTGTTTTCTAATGTTTTAATTTTAAAAATGGACACATTGTAATTGGACGTATTTATGGGCTACAATTTACCCCTGTACATTCCAAGCACCTGAACCGTTTCACTGACCAGGTGGTCTTCTTCAGATCATTCTCCTACATTACCACCGGTGAAAGTTTTTCTTGCTGGAGACTGTTCCTGGTTCTCTATTATTTATCCTTCAAATTTTGCTTGTAAACTGAAAAATCCTTTTAATTCCTCTTTCTTACAATACATTATCACACACAGCTAAGAAAAGCCTGTTGGTACTTTTAATCAATTACTTGTTTATTTTCCAGGCTGGAGTGTAGTGGTGTGACCTTGGCTCACCGTCCGTCTTCACCTCCTGGGCTCAGGCGATCCTTCTGCTTTAGCCTCCTGAGTAGCTGGGACTACAGATGCATGCCACCATGCCTGGCTACTTTTATTTTTATATTTTTGTTGTAGAGATGAGGTCTCACTATATTGCCCAGGCTGGCCTTGAACTCCTGGGGTCAGGAGATTCTCCTCTCTCGGCCTCCCAAAGTGCTGGGATTACAGGTGTGAGCCACTGTGCCCAGTTTATAATAAGTTTTTTTTATTTGTTTTTTTTTTGAGTTGGAGTCTCACTCTGTCACCCAGACTGGAGTGCAATGGCTGCTCCCGGCCACCGCAGCCTCGACCTGC